TTTGTAACTGATATTGAAACTAACATGGTTAAATATGGAGAAAAGGGGATATCGCTGTATTTAATACATTACATTCTTACAATTTTAAAAAAGGTTTAATTCATTATTTATTTCAACGTGTATATTTATGGGCCTGACAGGGCCTGGGGAAACTGTTAATGATAAAGAAAAAGATAATGAGAAGGAAGGGAGAAAAACAAGAATGGAATTTAACATAGCAAAAATTAAAGCACACCCTGAATATAATTATGCCAAAACTGATTTGGGTAACAGCTTAGCTTGATTTCTATTTGGGCTGTGGACATCAAACTGTGTAGAATATGATCACCTATCAACAATACTTTTGGAATGATGATTAGCTAGCTACACATAATCACGGTGCCCAGTTTTCTACCTGATTTTTACCACAATCACCCCCAACCTCCAATCCTTACCTTCACCCCCACCTAAAAATTTGAAGGCATCTAAACGAAGATTACTATGGAGACTTACATAGCTATGAGCAATGACGTCATCTCACAGGCAGAAGGAAACGAAGTCACGGTCAGGTGAGTAAAATGGGTGGCTATGCTGAGTGGCATGGCGATCCAGTGTAGAATATTGGTCAATGGTTGTAACTTGAAATTAGAGACTTGAACTTGAAAATTGATTCTATCACTTACCAGCTGTGTGACATTGGCAAAATTACTTAAATTCTCTAAGCCTCAACTTTTTTTTTTTTTTTGAGACGGAGTCTCGCTCTGTCGCTCTGTTGCCCAGGCTGGAGTGCAGTGGCCGGATCTCTGCTCACTGCAAGCTCCGCCTCCCGGGTTCACGCCATTCTCCTGCCTCAGCCTCCCGAGTGGCTGGGACTACAGGCGCCCGCGACCGCGCCCGGCTAGCTTTTTTTGTATTTTTTTTAGGAGAGACGGGGTTTCACCAGTCCTGGGGGTTTAGCCAGGATGGTCTCGATCTCCTGACCTTGTGATCTGCCCGTCTCAGCCTCCCAAAATGCTGGGATTCCAGGCTTGAGCCACTGCGCCCGGCCAGCCTCAACTTCTTTATCCAGAAAATGAGAATGATAATGACAACTAGTGTTATATAAGAAATAAATGTAAGAATGTATGTAGAATACATAGCATATGGCTTAGTACACTGCGCTCAGTAAAGGATAATGATTCTTATTCATGAATGACAGCTAAAGAAGCAATAAAGCACCAGAGAGTGATGTCATTTTTCCTGTTTGAAAATAAGAATTTTGCTTTTCTTTGGCAAAGTAAGAGTTTTGCCTGTTCTTTATTTCTTTGAAAAGAAAGACTTCACATTTCTATTGCTTCATCACTTAGACTGAAAGACAACTTCACCATCAAATTGTTTGGTTTGGTTTTTCAAGAGAGACTTCATTTTGAACAGAGCTGCTTAATTACACTGCCAACTTAAAAAAGCAAGTTGTTTCTAAGTTTGGTGGATTTATTGGCATTGTTTTTTCATTCAGATATTTCTCATTGCCAAATCTCACTCTGTCCAAGAAAAAAATAATTCAGCACACCATACTCTATGTAACCTCTACTTACACTACTTCATGGTAGCTGTAAGAAAGAATTTTTTTTTTTTTTTTAAAGACCTATGTCTTCAGCCAGGAAATATGTGATTAGAACTTAATTGGGAGCTGGCTTTTCTAGTTGGAACTGGGCTATCTTTGAACCAGTAGTAAATTACTTGTTGAAAGTATCTGTTCAAAGTAGCAAAGTGTTTATTCATATGGAGATAGGTATTAAAAAAAGTCTAAGTTGTATATATTTGCTCTAAGTTTTGTTTGCATTCTTCATTAAATAGAAATATGACTTACATAATGTTTGTATCCATATATAGACACATAGCAGAGCTAACCAATTCTTAAGGATTAAGTTACACCAGTCTAACATTTAGGGAATAAAGCACCTGCCTTCATTATTTGGTAAGACCTCAAAATTTCTAATAAAACAGACAATGTAAATACCATGACACAAATATCAGGTGAAAGGCCTAATGTGAGGGCCAATGAATATGGGAAGGGATCTGGGCCTCATATGGTTTGGAAATCCTCAGAATTTGTCCACAAAAATTACATGTATATCTATGTGTGTAAATGGTCATTTATCTGAACATTTTCATAGTTTCATCAAGGAAGACACAAAGGATGGTAAGAACCAAGGCATTGGGTGGACCTGATATTTTCATTGCCACCAGTCAATTCTTTAAGGAATAGTTACTGGAGGAAGTATAAGATAAACCTAGAAATGGGCTACCAGCACACATTAGGATGGTGCACACATGAGCTGGTGGTCTCCTGTTGCCGGTTTCAGAGGTGGATATGGCTGATCATAGATGGAGGAAGCAGAATTTGAAAGAAGCAACATGGCAGACCTCCACACCAGATTTCTCAAGCGGTGGGATGTTGAGTGTGGGGTTGTATTTTCCTGTATCAAAGGAGAAAAGTGACAGAAGCATGAGTGTTCTAACGTTTTTATTTCAGCAAAGCAAAGATAAAATCAGGACTTTCTTTGCTCCTGGGCCTGGACCTCTTTTAAGAGTTACTCTCTGGATGGAAGACTCTAGGGGTGCTGAAAGCAAGACTCAGAGGCCCCAGGCAAGAGAGCTGGCTAGGGCTGACTAGGGTTAGCTGACTGCTAGCTTGCATAGAGTTGAATTGCAATAAATTCTGTGAGATGTGTCTTATGGTTGCTGTAGGCAGAGTATGTTTCTCTAGACAGTGTCCAGTCTAGTTAGCGCTGCGCTTTAAACTTCCCAGCCTGCGCCTCGAATTTTGCTGCTGCAGTAGTAGGACCACATCTTTCTAGCATGGGACAAGGCTCCTCGAGGATTCATTTTTCTTTGGTTCCTCCGCAGCAGCTCACCGCTAGGATCTGGCTTTGTGTCGGCTCACAGAATTCATTTCAGTTCCAGAGTTATTCTCCACTTACTTATTCTCCACTTACTCAGCTTCTGCTGAACGTACACGTGCGTGGAATTGATAAGGGGACCACATTAATTCGCAGTTTTAGTGCCCGGTAGTCAAACCGGAGCTTATTTCTACTCAACTAAGTTTTGCTGCGCTTAATCCATCTCCACCATTTCCCTCCGCTACTGATTCCCTCCCTGCTCCTCCCCTGTCTGCTGAATTTTCCCCCAAAACTTGCCGGGAGGTTCCTTCTAGCGCCGCTGGGGACTGCAGAGCTGGCGCTTGGACCTTACCCAGCGGCCCCTACTCCGAAGGAGTGACCCAGGCACAGGCGACTTTAGAGGGTCTCTTTCTCTCTTGGGTGTTTCACACACATGCGCCTCTGTGCAAACACCTATGTTTTATGTGTTTTAAAGTGAAAAGGGAATACTTGAAATGCGGAAGTCAGGTTAAGGAAATTGGGTTCTTCACTGAACTCTGCCAAGATCCGGTCAATATGATGGCGGTGTGTGTTTATGCAGCTCTTTACCAAAGAGGGTAAAATCAAACTCTGCCCACAAGTGGCGGATTCCTCTGGGAGTCTGGGACTCTGCGAAGCAGTGGAGGCATGGCTGGAGAAAGCCACAGGTCCCCAAACCGCTAAAGCCAAAAACCGTGTGGGGAACAAGTTTTGTTTTGTTTTTTTCTCTTCCCATGCTCCTGAGCAGAAATTAAAAGAGGAAAGGTCGCATGGAGCTGGTTACATTCCTATCGGCCTTCCCCCGCTTCCCATCCGTTTAACAGTTCTCTCTAATCGTTTCCAGTTCTCCTAGGATAACGGGAAAATTGTTTCCTGGCACCCTGCACTCCCACAGGACACACCCGCAATCGTGCACACTTTTGATCCATCCTGGCCAAGGCCCCCACCTAGCGGTTTAAACTCGCCGGCTTTGCTTCCCTCTCCTATGGTTTCTAAGTGAGCGCTGCAGTTTGCAAAAATAATTGTTTATCTAGGTGGATGGGGTGGGAGGATGGGAAGGATCCCCTAAAATGTGGTGAAAATGAGACTTAAGGTTAGTGGCAAAATGCTAGGTGCTAGGACTGGAGGAGAAAAAGAGAGAAGGCAGTGCTTTTATCCTCAGGATGGCTGCTGCAGCCCAGAACGCATCTAGAGGACGTCCTTGAAGAGCTGCTACCTTAGTTAAAGGAGTACCCTCACTCTCAATGCATGGATATGTGTGTGTGTGTGTGTGTGTGTTTCTTCATAACACTTACACTACAGAAAAGTATAAGTATTAATTATTTACTTGTTCATGTAGTTATTGTCTGTCTCTTCTACAATGTAAACTGCTGGAAAAGAGGGTCTGAGTCTACTCCCACTGGCCTCCATACCTCTGGAGCCTACAAAAATATTCAGCATAGAGTAGGCACTCTATTTTTTGCCTGCCTGCCTGGTTTAGAGAACCGGGAATTAAGGGAACTTGGGTTTCTGCTTTATTGCGTTGGGGAAAAAGCTCTTCTTTCAAAGAATCTTAATTACTCTTCCTCTAAAAGTGGGTGGAGGGATCAGATCAGATAACCTTAAGTTCTGACACAGAATGATTCTCTTTAAAATATATGTGCGCTTAATCAGATGAGTTCAATTACAATGCAGTTTTTATTAGATACACTCTAGGTGCCAAAGATGGATCTAGGCTCTAGGAATTCGTAGTGGGGATCATTTAATCCTTCGAGCTGAAAATACCTTGTCCTTTCCTGGAGCTTTTCTTCACACTTTCTGATTTGCATTTCTACGCTACATTTGTTTCTGTTGAGGTTAGAGGAGAAACTGAGGACAGGGGATCGGTCCCTGGTCATGAGACCTTGGTACTGGTATTGCATGCTGCAGCTTATGGCTGACATCCCCACATACTAGTTGAAGGCAAAGGAGACACACAAGACGGTGCTGTTGATGGTTCCAGTCCTCCCCGCCGCGGTATCCCCCTTTTTTCTTGAATTCTGATGGCCTCCTTTCTAGGTGGGCTGTTGGAAGGAACATGCTCACTGGCAACTGTTTTCCAGAGGCACTGAAGCACTGAGCAGCTGGAACAGGAGGGTGGAGCAGAAGGTTTAATTTCACGTACAGTTGGCTTCTGTTTGTGATACTTCTACATTTTCTCAGATAGCTTTTTCTTTTTCCCTGTTGACTCACAGTTGAGTGAAAAACACAAATTGCTAAAACTTGATGAAAAAATAGTTTTTATTGTATCAGGAGTTGAGGACGACATGAAGCCAGAGGCTCAAAGTACAAAATGCAAACATTGGGTCCTCTACAGAGATATTACTGATGCCTGCCTCCTAATCTGGGTGTGGCCCTCAGGGCTGGATACGATTTTAGAGCGGAGAGGTCAGAGACCAGGGCTTCTCCGCCTAAAACTGGCCTTCTAGGGTGGGAGTGGTAGGCGGGAGCCTAGGACCAGACTCCTGGACTAAGCCTGGGATCGTGGCTAAGGACATGGGTCTCACTGGAGGTCAGCGCAGCAAGCGCCGATGTCCGCAGAGGCGAGAACAGGACGCTCTCCTCCCCTGGCCAGAAATGCGGCTCCAGGTTGTCAGGGCTGGGAGGGGGGCCCGGGATGGGAAGCGGGGAGATAGGGCGGTAGGACCCGGCGGGAGCTTCCTTGGCCAGGAAGGGAACGGGGCGGGGGGAAAAGAGGGAGGGAGAGAGAAAAAGAGAAGGTGATCGCGAGCGGGCGTCAGCACTCGCCGCGCCGCACGAGTTGCACTGCTCTGGCGGACCGGACCTGGACTCTATATAAGGAGCCCATCTGCTCCGTAGCTCGCACGCTCCTCCCGGGCTGGCGCACGCCGCGTCCCTCCAGCTTCCCCAGACACCTGCCCCTTCCCCGTGTGCCGCGCCAGGTCCTCCAGACCCGCGCACCCAGTGGCATGGCTCCGAGTGGTTCCCGTGGGACCGAGGTGGCGGTGGTGGCCGCGCGGCCCGAGCAGCCGCAACTCCAGCCCCATTGTCCCCCCTTTTATGGCTCCGTCTCCGCGGGGCCGCTCGTCCGAGTGGTCAGAGAGTGAAAAGAGAGGGAGGGCAGAGCTCCGGCGCGAGGCGCGGCTCAGCGCTGCTCCTAGACTTCACCGCACCCAGCTCTGGCGGCCGCTGCAGCGTCAAAAAAGTGCCCCAGCTTGGGGCGAGGGGCGGGAATGCAAGATCGGGACCTCTCGCTGGCCTGCAAGCTTTGGTCTCCACACCTAGGAAACTCCTGTGGGCAAAGTCTGCAGATCCAAGAGCGTCCAGGTTAGGAGACGCTCAGCCTCAAGCAACTGGGGTAAGCCAGATCCCATTTGGTCAAAGCCTTCTCCTCAAGCAGTACTTCACCCTCCGGCACTAGACGCCTCCAGGGAGCTGGAGCGGGGCAGGGCTCGGTGGGCCAGTTCTTAGCAACCCAGGGCTAAGACCCGGTATGGAGAGGAACAACCACAGACGCGGCGTCTTTGCCAGGCGCTCTGGAAGTGCAGGGGACGCGCCCGCCTGCCTCGGCTGCCGCACCCATGACCTCTAGTTTCAGCTGTGAACCTGGGCGGAGGAATAATTGAGGAACTCACGGAACTATCAACTGGGGACAAACCTGCGATTGCCACGGTCCTTCCGCCCTCTCCTTTGTCCGCTCCATGCAAAAGAGCTGCGCTCTGGGGCTGGGGCGAGGAGAACCATGGAGGAACCGGGTACTCAGTGCGCTCCACCGCGGCCCGCGGGCTCGGAGACCTGGGCTCCTCAAGCCAACCTATCCTCTGCTCCCTCCCAAAACTGCAGCACCAAGGACTATATTTACCAGGACTCCATCGCCCTACCCTGGAAAGTACTGCTGGTTATGCTACTGGCGCTCATCACCTTGGCCACCACGCTCTCCAATGCCTTTGTGATTGCCACAGTGTACCGGACCCGGAAGCTGCACACCCCGGCTAACTACCTGATCGCCTCTCTGGCGGTCACCGACCTGCTCGTGTCCATCCTGGTGATGCCCGTCAGCACCATGTACACTGTCACCGGCCGCTGGACACTGGGCCAGGTGGTCTGTGACTTCTGGCTGTCGTCGGACATCACCTGTTGCACTGCCTCCATCCTGCACCTCTGTGTCATCGCCCTGGACCGCTACTGGGCAATCACGGACGCAGTGGAGTACTCAGCTAAAAGGACTCCCAAGAGGGCGGCGGTCATGATCGCGCTGGTGTGGGTCTTCTCCATCTCTATCTCGCTGCCGCCCTTCTTCTGGCGTCAGGCCAAGGCCGAAGAGGAGGTGTCGGACTGCGTGGTGAACACCGACCACATCCTCTACACGGTCTACTCCACGGTGGGTGCTTTCTACTTTCCCACCCTGCTCCTCATCGCCCTCTATGGCCGCATCTACGTGGAAGCCCGCTCCCGGATTTTGAAACAGACGCCCAACAGGACCGGCAAGCGCTTGACCCGAGCCCAGCTGATAACGGACTCTCCCGGGTCCACGTCCTCGGTCACCTCTATTAACTCGCGGGTTCCCGACGTGCCCAGCGAATCCGGGTCTCCTGTGTACGTGAACCAAGTCAAAGTGCGAGTCTCCGACGCCCTGCTGGAAAGGAAGAAACTCATGGCCGCTAGGGAGCGCAAAGCCACCAAGACCCTGGGGATCATTTTGGGAGCCTTTATTGTGTGTTGGCTGCCCTTCTTCATCATATCCCTAGTGCTGCCTATCTGCAAAGATGCCTGCTGGTTCCACCTAGCCATCTTTGACTTCTTCACCTGGCTGGGCTATCTCAACTCCCTCATTAATCCCATAATCTATACCATGTCCAATGAGGACTTTAAACAAGCATTCCATAAACTGATACGTTTTAAGTGCACGAGTTGACTTGCCAATTGCAGTGGGGTCGCCTAAGCGACCTTTGGGGACCAAGTTGTGTCTGGTTCCACAGGTAGGTCGAATCTTCTTTCGCGGTTACTGGGTCCCAGCGAGGCTGTCTCTCCTGGGCAAGGGCAATGGATCCTGAGAAGCCAGGATAGTCCTGAGAGAGAGCTCTGAAAGGAGAAGTGTTGAAACTAAACGTAGAGCTTCCCTGCCCAGGAGGAGGCTCACTTCCTCCCCCTCAAGCCTCGGGCTCAGCACTGACCCCTGCGGCAGCCAATCCCAAAGGGGATTGCAACTTTTAAAAATTGATTATGGAAGGGGATCCCTGCCCTGCTTTGGTATCATGGATAATGCCCACTAGAACCAGTGTATTTGTAATTGTTGTCTGAAGCTTGTCTGAGACAGATCTACATACAGCCTGGCAGTACTTGAACTAGACGCTTAATGCCCTGTGTTTTTGGGGAGAACTTTGTGTTACAGCTTAATTTAAGAACAGTTACTTTGGCATCATTCAGTCTTCAGTTTTTGTTTATTTAAACTTGGTTGGAGAAACTTGTGGATTTGGTGCTTCAAACCCTATGTGTGGCTTGGATGGCGCAGAGAAACCTTGAAGAGTTAACAGCAAAATTCTGATGCTGAGATCTCTATTTTTATTATACTTGAAACTATATGGGGGTGGGTGGGTGGGAATGGGAGATGAGAGTGTTAAACTGAGAATCAACACCTATGATTGTTTGTTTTCTGCAGATTTGTAATTTTGTAATTCTTGTTTAGCGATGGTCAAACCACAGCTCTAACAAACAAACCATTATGTGTGCTAGTGCCAAAGTCTGCAGACTGCTTTTTTTTTCTCCTAATTTCATGTACCTGTCACTTTACACATTTAAATCCCCAGAAATGAAGGGTATGATGGGTGACTCAGCCCACACTGCTGCTATATTTCTTACTAATGCAATTGGTAAAACCGATTAGTATTGGAGATATATTGTTCCTTAACAAGAAAAGTGTCTTTATTTCTTATCCAATTGAGTGAGATGTGAAGGAGACTGATGACATGGGACTAGTTCTTACACAATTGAGGAATGGGGTGGGGGTAATAGAAGGATGTATATTTTGACTTGTAAAAAAATCTTAAAATGCATGAGACTTTTATCTGATAGTCATTTGCACTCTCCTTCCCATCTGTGATTCCTTGTGTGCTAACATATAAGGAAACCAAGAGAACTATCTCCCTTCTTCAGAAACCTTTAAAATACAGTAAGGGCTCTAAAAACGATACTGGAAAGAAAATAAACTTGTTTCTTTTTCCATTGTTGCTGTTATTGAAGTTTGGGCAGGAGAAAAGATTGCTAGAAAATGACATACAAGAACTTTAGAAAAGCTTAGTGAAGTTAAAATTGAGGCCTTTTTTTTTTTTTTTTTTTTTTTTTTTTAACTTGCAGAACCAAACCTCAGACTTACTAAACAATCAGGAAACTGGCAAGCTTTTGACCTTTGTATATTCGTTACCAACCTGATATCTCAATGAATGTAATATCTGGAATACTTTAAATTTATCAATCTTTTCAAATTTCAAGAATACTTAGTTATTTCAAATTTCCTCTGAGAGCTCCCTAATACAGGATAAAGTCATGCAATAAAATATGAAAAAAATGTATATTTTAATAAGAAGTAGCCCTGAGGGATTATCTGCATGAAAAAAAATGTATATGCACAGCATTTAACATGCCAAAGAAAATTCACACTCCTTTTCTCAGAAGGCATTCTGCAGTTGATACCTTTTGTCTGCAGAAGCAAGTTGTCTTTGTGAAATGGATTCACTCCTTGCTTGAAGCTCCCCAGTCCTGTTTGTCAGACAATAAATGTATTGAACTGAAGCACACTGCTTGCCTACTGTGCAGACCTTCACCTTGGGTAATCACTCTTGAAAATATACTATTCAAAGATTCACACATAAGCTAACTAAAAAGGGGAATTTTGATCAATATTTATACCTGTCACTGGTGTGAGAGAAAATTTTAGGCATTAGATATGCCTGTACTTCTGCTGGATCCCCAAGTTTGTTTGTTTGTTTGTTTTTTGTGACATTTCTTCTATGGAGGAATGTGCATAGAGCATGGTGTTTGTTTTTATGTTATTAATACTGTGGTCTTCTGTTTATACAGCTGTATTTTCTTTGATCCTAAGAGGCAATTAAGTCAACTTCTAAGAGCCTTAGGGGGAAACATTAATTGAAACAAATAGCCACTTACAAATGATTTCTTTATAGGGTACCTGTATTGATGGTGTCCTCACATTAACAAAACACAATCAGTTTAGTTGAATGGGTTGTTTGCCATTTTGTAGATTAACCACCTAAATTATTGCTTGACTATTTGGCTGTATTGCCTGGATTTGGGGCATATTGTATGAAATAGAAGCTTGCAAACCCTTATAGTTATAAGAGATATAGAATCATCATTCAGCATTGCACATGATTATGCAAAGTGTATTATTCATCCCAGGGGTATGTAGTTAAGACTGTTAAGCTCCTTTTCAGTTACTGCTGCCTATAGCATAGTTTATTTCATAAACTAGACACGTGGCTTTTTTGCAGAACATAAAGCGGGAGATGGAAATGTTTAACTTACATGGCAATGAAAATATATTTTCATTGGCTATGGTAACAAACATTTTCCATATTGTTTAATTGCACAAATTTTCACAGAAATATATGAATGTATACTCATTCAATAATACCAATATTGTCTTGTGTTTCTAGGAATTTTAGCGTTTCCTTTGAAAAATGGACACTACACCTATGAATGAATGTTTATTGAGTTCAACAAATTTTCTAAAGAACAATATTCTTAATTTTTCGTCTCTATTATCTTAGTTTTGTCTTCTTTAACCAGGAAACCCTGAGAAGATTATAATTCACTGAAGCAGTAAAATATCAGATTATGTGTATTTGATGGAGTTGCTGTGACTGAAAATTGCCTTTGATATTCCACCTTTCAGGAAATGTATCATTGGAAATGAAATTTAGGAAAATAAATAAAAGTCCTTTTGTGTTCTAAAAAGTGTCGGGTAGTAGTTCTATTATTATGGAAAAATTGGTTCCTTGGATTCTGGGGTTGTGTTTAGGAGTCTGAGCCTTCACTGGAGAATGATTAATAGTAAATGATACTGTGGCTGACTAATACGTGCTGCCATGACTTGGGGGATTTAGTTTATATCTGAAGGAAGAATTTGAAAGGAAATAAATGGATTGTGCTTTCATATTCTGCAAAGAGAGAGGGTTAGATCCACTATCACAAGAGTTTTCCAGATTAGTTTTCAGAGGAGACCTTTAGTCTCTAGGCTAGGCAGTCAGATTCCAAGGGCTGTCTGGTGCTTAAAATACAGAAGGAGGAACTGGGTTAGAAGAAGACTTCAGAGGAGTAGACTGACCTATCTTAAGACCAGTAAAGTAGGCAGAAAGGTAGCTTTTGTAGTCAGTCCTAGGTTTGAATTGCAAATAAAGTATGTTAGAACTATGTGGTTCTTCTTCTCAAATACCATCTACCTACAAATTGATGTAAAGTCTTAGAACCTATACACGTAAAGCACTTATTGAGATGCGTGACACTTTTTTGACTCTCAGCAGATTGGACTTCCTCTTAGTCATTATTTCCCATTGTCTCCTTTGTGGATGCAGAGTGCCTGTAGCACAGAACAGGGGTACTTGGGAGAAGTTGGCCTGGAGAAGATCAAACTAGCCTGAATGGGAAAAATTTGGCAAAAACTAGAAGTGGCTGAAGTTTACAGCCTTTTACAACTAATCCCCTATGCAGGTGACATACAACCCAAAGAACCAAAGGGAACATGAAGGATGGTTTGCAGTGGCTCTATTGGCCAAGAAGAAATTGCCAAGTATTTAATTATTTCTTACAGCGTCCTTTTATTCACTTTTAAACTCTCTTCCTCTTCCTTGTCTAGAGATTTCTGGCTGTCTTTAGAGAATCCAAAGTCCCTGGCCACATCCACATTTTTAATTTGCAGCACCTCATTTTTCACTTCTCTGCTTTTTTCTTACCTGTATCAAATCATGATAACCAATAATGATGTCTGTGGTTCTTGTTTTAGCTGTGAAGGGCTGATTAGGTAACTAAGGGTTTTCACATTACATAAAAGGGAATTGTTGAACCAAACGAATGTGTAATTGGTGGGAATAAAAGCTTTCAACTGGGGCGTCTACTCGAGTCTTCTAAAGGAAAGAGGTTGGTAGAGGAAGGATGGGAGAACGGAAGCCTGCACTGTTCATCGAAACCCACCCTGGAACAGTCCACCAGGGGGCAGAGTGTCTCTGAGATGTTTAGCAGAAGCAGGCACAGACCATTCAGGATCTCTAAATCCCTCTTCCAGGACATTGTGCAACTGATATTAACGCCTCTAGACTCAGTGAAAACAAAGTTCCATGAGCCAAGGGAGAGGAGGTTTATCGCTGATTAGAAATAGCAGATTTTGCAGAGCTGTAAATTCAGGCAGAGGATCCCCAAATCAAACCTAAAGTTTTTCTCCATATGTGCAAACTCAGTTTTTAAAATTCATCTCTACTCCTGATATAATACTAAAATCTTAGCATTTAAAAACATTGTGACCTTTTATTAATGTGGCACTGAGCGAATCAGAGGTTAGGAGACAATATACCTATTTCAAAATAAAGGGAGCTAATCAGTTACTTAAACATGTTTAACCATTATGATTTTTCTCATCACTGTGTTTTTCTTTTCAAATTTTTTTTGGTTTGAGGTTGATATATCCATGGTTCAAAGGTAGAACACTTGCTGTTTATGATTGAAAGAGATGTCTTTTTTTTTTTTTTTTTGCACAGAAGTAAGGTTTATTTATATGTCGGTTTTTCTCAAAAGACAGACCCTGAAGTCTGTGTAATTTTGGCATTTTAAAAACAGGCATATAGAAATGTGAGTACAATCTAATGTTTCACAAAAATAAATTTCAGCATCAGAAAATGGATCACATAAAACGAGAAAACGGGTGAGATTATATCATTGCCATTCTCCTATAACGTAACTGTTACTCTAG